TCCTCCCTCAGTAACTTCCCCAGAGACCCTTTTTCTGGGTCCCACCCCAGGGACAGGCTGCACCTTGTCCTGCACAGGTGCCTAGCCCAGACACACCCCTGAAACAGCACCCCAACCATGCCACATGGCAACCCCTCCTCCCCAACTGTGCCCCACGGCTGCCCCACACAGTGGTGAAGATGCGCATCAAGGAGATGACAGAGGAGAATGGGGAGCGTCGACTGGTGGCCGCCCAGAAGAAGAAGGTGCTGAAGCTGGGCCCACTGAAGCGCAAGGACACCAAGAAGATGGTGCTGCACATGAGGAACGCGAGTGCCTGCCCTTGCCCCCAGCTTGACAGCCTCAGTGGCAGCTTCCTGGTGATGGGACGCAAGGTGGGTGGCCGCCTGCTCCTCCTCGCTGTCTACCCCTGGCAGAAGCACAACAAGGAGATGAAGTTTGCCGTCAAGTTCATGTTCTCCTACCCCTGTCCCCTCTACCACCCCCTGCTCTATGGGGCTGGGCAGCACTAGGGCTCTGTCCACTCTGCCCTGGGACTCCTGCACTGGCCTGACACTGCAACCCTGGCACCCCTAGTTGTACCCCGGGACCTCAGCTCTGCTCCCCTCGGCCTCTAGACTGTGTCCCAGGACCTTGTTCTGCAGCCCTATGTTCCCAGCTGCATTTGTGGAAGCCCTTATCCACAGCCAGTACTCCTGTCCCCTCCTGAAAGCCCTTCTCTGCACCCCTAGGACCCCTGTCCTGCTCCCAGAACTCCTGCCCACACCCAGGACTCTTGCTCTGCATGCTTGTGAGCCCTGGTCTGTGCCAAAGACCCTTGGGCACCCCAAGCCCTCTGCCTGGCACCCCAGAGACCCTTGCCTGCACTTAGGATCCCTGCTTGGCCTTCCTGGGACCCCTATCCTGCACCCCTGCCCAGCTTCCTGATGACATGCCCCACATTCTCAGCCCTCCCAGATGCCTACAGCAGTCCATGAAGCATCCTATGCCCTCACCTTGAGCTCACACCCCAGCCTTGGATCATCCCACCTTCATAGGGATCCATCCCAGATGAAGGAGGTCCTTCCTGCCCTGTTGTCCCCACAGACTGGGCCCCTTGAGACCAAGTGCCTGGAGCAGCACAGCCCCCGCCTGGACTCTCCCACCCTTCCCATCCCACATGGCTCAGCAGGGGGGATCCACCTCCAAGTTCCCCAGACCATCCCTGCTGCATCACTCACACACCTCCCTTCCCTCCCCATCCACACCACAGAAAATTATGCTTCCTTGGAGAAGCCTGTGTCCAGCTACCTGTGGTTCATGGGCCCCTTAGGGCTCCCCCAGTCCTGACTTCTGAGTGGGGTGACCTAAGGGAGCTGGGTCACCCTGTTCTCCAGCTCTAGACATGCTCTAGGCACCATGCCCAGAGCCCAAGGCTGGGCAGCCTGGCCAAGCCAAGGGACAAGGTTCCCAGTGGTCACAGGCATCACTGGTAAGTTGGGAATCCCTGCCACTTCAGGGAACCTGGGAGGGTGGCAAGATGAGGGTAGGGGGACAGCTGAGCCCCACAGCTGGGTGTTTGCCTGAGATGTTTCTCCCTCCATCACCCCTTGGGGACAGATCTGCAGGCTGGGAGGTGGAGGTGCATGGGGAGAGCCTGGCACTGAGCATAGTGAGGGCAAATCCCAGGCCAGGATCCCTGTCTCCATCCCTGGGCACCCCTGAAAGCCCTGCCTGTGGCTCTAACCTGCCCTGCTGCCAGACCTCCCACCCTGCAACCAACACCTCCACCCTGCCTCCTCCCAAAGGTTCCCTGGGGACACCCACCTGCACCAGCTGGGACCCTCCAGCAGACCTGGGACCGAGGCCACCCCGAGCCTGGCCCCTCTGATAGTGGAATGGTGCTGTCTCTCAGCTCAGCTGCCCCAGCCCCAGAGCAGGGGCTGCTTCTGCCCCAGCAGGCAAGGGGGGCAGCCAGCAGCCCCTGTCCCACTGCAGTCCTGTTTACCCAGCACATTTTTCTGCCTGCCCATCCCACAGGGTGAGGGAAGCATGCAGGCCCCTGCAGTGTTTACCCATCACCTGGCACTGCGGCTTCTCACCGGAGCTGGCCCAGCCACAGGGAAGTCTCCCAGGACAAGAGGGGAATTGAGGCTGCAGGACACCTGCACTCAACCTCCCCCTGGCTAATGAGGCCACCAGGCACCTGCCCTGTGCAGGGCTGATCCCTGCCCCCTCTGCCCCCCTTGAACATGGCCTCAGCCCCACTGGCTACCCCCCCCCCTCCCACTTATGTCCTGCTCCAACCAGGCCCCTGCCCCACAGCCAGCCAGGAACATGGGACAGCCAACCCTGCAACAGCCTCACACCCTCTGCCCCAGCCAACGTGGAAAAAAACTGGGGGGAAAACTCAAACACTGTCAGAAGGTATGCTCAGAGCGAGGCTGCTGCCACAGGGAAAAACATAATAAATTATGTCATTTTACTGCAAAACTTAAAGTATGCAAATAAAACCCCATCTCCCACAGCCCAGCTTTATCTGTAGCCCTCTGTGTTTTGTATCATTAGCATCTTTCCAGGGCACATTTAGACAAACATAGCCTTGGTGCTCATTGCTCCTAGTATTTCCTCTAGGAAAACAAGTAAGTTCTCTCTGCCTCCCACCACTGCTGTTTGAATGCTATAGCTCAACCCCCTCAGCCCCTCACAGACCTCCCCTCACCTCACTGCGGGTGTATCCACACCCACAAACAGGATTCTGCAGCTCCTCGGGTGCCACACAACCCCCTCCTCAACATTACAGATGCCCCACTGTCCCCAGCAACTGCTGAGCCCTCTGGGTGCCAGCCCCACACACACACCCTGGCCTTGGAGCACACCCAGCACAGCTCAGACACCCTCATAATCCCTACCGAGTTCAGCTTTTCCACAGATTCCCCATAGGGCACAGCTTGAGGAAGGGGTTAATGAGCCCACACCGAGAGGGAGGGGTTAGGGGATTAGTGGAGGGTTCAGGCTTTGCCCCAGGCTGCCCCACTTCAGCTCCCACGCTAGGGGAATGTACCAAATGTACCACCATCAGCAGCAAGATCCGTGCTCTCTGCACCTTCTCAGGCTGGTGGATGGCAGAGCCTGGCAGACACTGGGCAATGTCAGCCCCCCCAGACCAGGGGAAGCTGCAGCTGGCTGGCAGGGACCCAGGCCATGGTCGTTCCCAGCTGCCAGGGTCACATTCCTGGGATGGCTGGGAGCCTTGCTGTTCACAAAGGGAAAGGTCATCCTTGTATGCACAGGCAGCTGCTGGGACCACTGCCTGGGCAGGGCAGGGGAAGGAGCAGCCCCCGGAGGCAGAGAGGAAAGGCCAGCAGCTCCTGCCAGAGTTGAGCTGCTCCACAGCAGGATCCAGCCCCGGCACTGCCAAGGAAGGGCAGCTGCACACAGCCCCAAGCAGGGGGCAAACAAGACCACAGGACAAGATGGAAACTCCAGTAAGCAAGGGGAGCTGGTGGCAGAGACACCATTTCTCCATGACCACCTGTAGGACAGCGAGGCCAAGGCCACAGAGGTGCCAGGGTGACCTGGGACAGCTTTCACTGGGGCAAGACAAGAGCCAGCAGAGTGCAAAGGTTTATTGGTCACTCTCTATATACACTCATATATTAAATCTGTAGTAGAAAGCAGCAGTCACTAAGTGCAGAGAGCAGCACCAACTCTCTCACTGCAGCTGGAGACTCAGCCAGACAGCCCAGCCCAAACTGACCCTCTTGCCTCCTCTGTGCTACAGCCAAATACGGGGGGAAAAGACTAAACCTGCAGACAGTGAGGCTAAGGAGCAGGGTCTCAGCTGAGCCAGGACTTAGGACCACATCTGGGGACGCAGGTAGAGTTCTAACTCCATTCCAAAAATAGAGTCACCCAACACAGTGCTGGGAAAGGTAGGGACAGAGCCCTGGGGTTGTTCTGCCCCACCCAGGAGGGGGAGGTAGGGCCACGAGTGGGAAGGATGGCTCCTCCATCACTGAGCCAGGCCACAGGGCCCAGGCAAGTATGTGGCAGGGTACATGAGTGCCTTGGAGCAACTGCCACAAGGGCAGCCACGGGAACGGGGGCACAGCTGTGGGCAATGCTCCACTACAGGGACCCAGCTGCTGCAGCAGATGCTGTGGGGCAAGGCAGGCTGGTTTGCCCCCAGCCTGGCACTAGCAGAAGGAGCAGTGAGCACACGTGTCCCTCTGGCAGGATGAGAACACTCTGGGAACCAAGCAGCCCAGGCTCCTGGCAAGCACAGGCAGGGTGCCTGCCATCCTGGTGTCAGGCAGGACAGGGCCAGGAGCTGGCTGGGCCTGTTTTGGTCACTTGGTGAGCACCTGGTTGCACAGAGCACACACAAACACTGTTTCCCTCTGAGCTTCTGGGGCTGGAAAGGAAAGCAAGTGTCAGAAATGCTTCCTTTCCCCACTACATCACCCACCACGGGCTAGGACCCCATCCACAGAGCTGCTCCAAGAGCTGCAAACCCATCATTGCTGTGACCTGATCCAGGCTGCACTGAGCAGGTCCCACAACCCTCCCCACCACAGCTGGGGCAAATCCCTGCAGCAGACAGCACAGGTGGGAGCAGGAGCTCTGCCCTCCACCTTTCCACTCACCTGTGGCTCCCATTACAGCCTTGGGGACTTTGAAGGAGCAACACCTGGAGCAGAAGCTGTTCCCACAGTTACTGCAGCTCCGCTGTGGAGAGAAATAGAGGTGAGATGCTACTCTGAACCCATTGCCAGCTCTTCTCAGCAAACTCCAGTGAAGGAGCACTGCTAACAGCATTCCTTGCTGAAGGGGAGAGGTGCAAACCAAATATGAACAACAGTGGGGTCATCTGCCAACAACATGCTGGATCTGCATTCAATTTTGCTCACTCTATCACCATGAGCAGCCTGTGCCTCAGAGTCCACTGGGCATATAGGCTCCAAGAGGTTTAAGCACATTGTGTCACTTCCTATGCCATAACCCCAGAGAGATGCAAGCTCCAGAGAGTCCCAGACATGCATCAGACTAATCCAGGAGAAAGGGGAGCAGGCCACAAATCTGGTGAAGGGGAAGCAGCAGGTATGCAAGTCTGGAGGGGACAAGAGATGCATCCTTCCCAGAACTGCCATGGGGACCACACACCAAGCAGCATGCTCAGGGGCTCAGCCAAGACATCAGGAGCGGCCTTTACTCCTCTAGTTCCCACAAACAGCCCATGCTCTGCTTCACTGGAAAGCTCTCGGACTACAAGAAATGGGCTAAAGCAGGGCACAGGGCAGGTGCACTGTACACCAGCACAGGCAGATTTCGCCTGAGGCAGCTTAGACAAAGACTCCATAGCAGAAGGGATCACTGGCACCATTACGTGTGAGACAACACCCAGCACTCAGCTGAGGTAATCTGCTGCAGGGCTGTGACTGAAGCCAGTCACCTGATCTGCTGCAGAAAGCCAGGGCAAGACAGACACACACAACGCCCCTGCCCCAGGTGCAGGCACCAAGCTGGGGCACAAGCCAAAGACTCACCCGCTTCTTGAGCACGGAGAAAGTGGCTGCACAGCCCGTGCAGCTCCCTGGAAGAAGGACAGCAGAGGTGAGGCAGGGCTCTGCTACCTGGGACTCAGCTAACTTTGCAAAGGCTGAGCTCAGAGCCCACACTGCTGCAGCCTCTCATCTTTGCTCTTCCCAGGACAGCTGGGAACGCCCTCCCCGTGGAGGACGGAGGTCACTGGAGGTGTCAATACAGCCCTAGCAGGCATCACAGCACTCCATCCACTCCTCCTGTTCAGTGGCCAGCACTGGGAGCCGCCCAAGAAGGGATCACTGGCCCCATTACGTGTGAGACAACTCCCAGCACTCAGCTGAGGTAATCTGCTGCAGGGCTGTGACTGAAGCCAGTCACCTGATCTGCTGCAGAAAGCCAGGGCAAGACAGACACACACAACGCCCCTGCCCCAGGTGCAGGCACCAAGCTGGGGCACAAGCCAAAGACTCACCCGCTTCTTGAGCACGGAGAAAGTGGCTGCACAGCCCGTGCAGCTCCCTGGAAGAAGGACAGCAGACGTGAGGCAGGGCTCTGCTACCTGGGACTCAGCTAACTTTGCAAAGGCTGAGCTCAGAGCCCACACTGCTGCAGCCTCTCATCTTTGCTCTTCCCAGGACAGCTGGGAACGCCCTCCCCGTGGAGGACGGAGGTCACTGGAGGTGTCAATACAGCCCTAGCAGGCATCACAGCACTCCAGCCACTCCTCCTGTTCAGTGGCCAGCACTGGGAGCAGCCCAACCCCTGCTGTGCTGACCCCCCAGTCAGCAGCCACTTCAGCCTTACCAAAGTTGTTGCTGGGGTAGCGCTTGCGCAGGCGCTCGGTCAGGCGGGACACTTTGCTGCGGATCACCTCGTTTTTGCTCATAAAACCATTGTCTGGGAGGCTGAGGTCAAAATCTGCTGAGCACTGAGAGCTCTCGTCATCCTCCTGCAGAGAGCAGAGCCAGCTAAGCAGAGAGGGGTGGCCGGGGGCACACTCTGGGAGGTGGAGGGGGGGGGAAACAGGGCAGCCCGCCCCACAGATGGGCATCCAGTGAGCAGGATGCTCCACCTGGCATCACCAAAAACCACCAGCAAAGGCTGTCAGCTTTAGACAGGAGGAGATGCCCTGCTTGCACAACTTGGCATAGCTGTACTCACCATGACCAGCAGCTGGTTCTCCTTCTCCCGCAGCATGGGACAGAGAGAGGCAGTATAGATGGGAGTCAGAGGCACCCAGCCCCACACCCACCCTTCCTGGGCACCCAGCTTGCCCACCAAGGCCCTCACCCCTTCCCACCTCAGCTCCCCACCAGTCTCAAACCTCAATAGCATCCTTGAACTCTTCATCAGGCTCTGCCTCCTCTGCCTCCTCCACACTGCCAGGGGTAAGGTCCTGCAAGAGATGCACAGAGCTAGTTCTGTTGTACCCCCAAGCCCCATCCAAAGGTGGGTGCACACTTCCATGGCAGGCTCAAGGAGAAAGGACCAGCCACCCAGCAGCCCCATGAGAAAGTGTGAACCCCAGAAGGTGGGGTGAGTCCCTGCCTCCCCAGGTCACATCTTCACACATAGCAGGAGGACTGAGCCAAGCCTCCAGCACAGCAGGGCAGCACCCCAGTAACTCCAGAGGGTCTCCAAGGCAGGCTTCCAGAAAAGCTAGCAGCTGGAAGGAGCTCGTGGGTAGAGGGACATGGGCACAACCAGACCAAAGGGCTGACCCTGCAACTCCCACCCCCATCCCTATCTCACCTCTGTGCTGGTGGGTGTGGGGGTCTGATCCAGGGGGGCAGCAGCTGGCAGGGGTTCAGC